TTCATTAAACAACTGGCTTTACCTAGAAAATTTAGGAATGATGTTCTAGCTTCTTACCACAATCTTGGTCATTTTGGTTTTGATAAGACATATTTTGCTATGCAGCAAAAATATTTCTTTCCTGGTATGAACTAAGCAGTTACAGACTATATCTGAGGATGTGATATGTGCCAACGAGCAAAACAACCAGCACATGCAAAGAGAGTACCACTCACAAACATGCCAATTCAAGATACTTTCAGTAGATGGAACCTTGATATCATAGGACTATTCCAGGCACTTACAAAAGAATACCGTTAATACTCATAATAGTTGATTCTTTATGTAAATGGACAGAAGCCTTTCCAGTTAGATCTGAGAGTGCTGAAGAAATATCTAAAATTCTACACAGAGAAATCTTTTCCAGATATGGAACGTGTCATAGTCTTGTTACAGACATGGGTCAGGGTTTTGCCAGTAAACTTGTTGCTGCAATCAACCAAATCTACTGACAGACTTGTAAATGTCTGTTGTAAGATGCATAGTAGATGCCTTTCCTACCTCTATTTTGGTACCATGGCCCACTTTTAAAAGTCCTTATTAAGACCAGCTAGCAATATTTGGTTTGGGCTATGACACATACATGGTACCTGCCTTTTCTTATGTAAACATTAAAAATTAATGTGAACAACGCATATTTGAAGATTTTGAAAATGATATTCTGGTCTTGTAAGAACTGAAAATAAATACAAAACAGATTGAAAAATATATATTTTACACAATAAAATGCAGGATATAGATGTTATACAAAAGTAAAAATAAATGTCCAATTAGCAACAAGATAAAAATAACACAATATCAAATGGTCATCCCCTGGTAATTGTTTTGTAGTTCAAAATTTATAACTCGTTTATGTTTGGTTTGGACCCCTCTTTTTTAAAATGACATTTGGTTTGATTACGTTTGAAGATTATGTTTACCAATTTTCATGAAAAAGTCAATATTGCAATTTTTTTAAATTTGATAAATATACAGCAAAAAATGACGGTTTTTTTTCTACAATCATGATCATTTGATTAATATGAGTTATTTGTAAAAATGAAATGTACAAATTTATAGAACATTTATATAATACAGAAATTACAAATAATTTAGCAGAAAACAGCTTGTGTGCATCTTTTAAAACAAAAAAGTTATGTATATCTATCGAAAAGAAAAAAACGTCCACAAATCCGAATTTTGAGGAAATATCTGAAATTTCAACCTCAATTTACTCAAAAAGTAGCACATGGTGGTATATTTTTTATTACATATTTGATTTAATCAGGTAAAAAATAGCCTATATGCAAAGGAGTAGGTCCGGTAAGGGCCGATTTTGGCCTCAAATTTCAGGTTCATCTGACGAAAGATTTTGGATACTTTTTAAACACTTAACTGTCTATTTCAGTTGATTCAATTAGTTTATGTGAAAAATGTTAACTGATTTAGTCATTAAAAACGCTCCGATTTAAGCTTAGATATGAAAAATCTATCAAATATGACGAAAAATGTCACTTTTCAGATGGTTTTTGTCAAAAATGAAAGTGGCCGCATCCGTGTTCATCCTCAACCTTTATATATGTTATGTATTATCATCAAATACAACTTACATTTCAATATTAAGAATGAACACAAATGCGGCCACTTTCATTTAAGACGGAAACCGTCTAAAATTTAACTAAAATGCTAAATTTGTGAAGATTTCAGTAATTTAGCATGACTTGATGATTCTAGTACCCAATATATGTGCATTGAATTGTCAAAAACAGCCCATATTTATGTAGCAAAAGCATTATACTTTCCATTAAATAACTAAAAGTTTACATTTTAACAATTTTGTAAAACTGCTATACTTTGGGGCCAAAAAGGGGTCTTACTGGACCTACTTTTCATCAAAATTTCATTATGGGATCAAAACTGTATCGTATGCCCTTAACGTACATGTATCAGAATAAACACCCTTGTTTATATGAGCGCCGTAAAATAATGCCTTAAACTCTAACCTTCAAAAGATAAAAGTTCATAAAAAAAATAAGATCTGTAAGAAGAGGTTGGTTGTTTAAAGACTTAAAAACTTGATATTATGTGGTATAAAACGTCCACAGCAGAAAATGCCGAGGTAAGGCACAGTGTCCTATAAGGAACAAATATAGTTAAATAAATGAATAGTAATTCAAAGAGAAATGCACGTGTAAAAATGAATAAGTATTGGTTGAATGTTAAAGTTTTTAATGGTTCTATAGCGATCACGATAAAATGTTGAGAAAAAACATGTGTTTTAATGTTCCCGTTTGTAAGGATTTAATGTTAGTTTAATCATAAGAATTTGATTTTAGTAGATATCCTAATGAAATTAGTTCTTAATATGTTAACTTAGCTAGTCATCATGTAAAACCTTGATTGTAGCAAACACAATGTATTCTAGCATAGGCAAGTCATTATCCACAATGTAAAATCTTAACTGTAATCAAATGTTTTAGAAAACTACCCATTGTAAAACGAACAACAAATCCGACTAAAGTAATATAATAGAAAATGAGGGTATGACTTGCGGTAGTTCTGGAGTCGAAGCAAAATACCCAGGAAAATGAGCATACTCCAGTGAGAGGAAATGACTCGGGTATGTTTGGAGTTCGAGCAGACTACCAAGAAAAGCGGGCTTACCACAAAAGTATAAGTAATAGAGAAACGATAATAATAATGATATAAAAAAACACCAACGCTCCTAAAATAAAGAATAAAGAGATCTGTAAATGTAAAATATTTTAAATAAAATTGTTTTATTGATGAAAGAAAAGGAAAAAAAACATAAATAAATAAAGTACTACATGTATATGGTCATATAAAGTCACGAATTAAAATAACTAAAACGCAATAAGTCATTTTGGTCATATCAATTTGTCTAACCGATATATATATATACTATCAACTGATCATAAACCACGAAGTCATATAGTCAAATCCAGTTGAATTTTTCCTATTTGATTAAACTTGACACTTAGAACATAAATAAGGTTTGACAGCTTAAACTCTTAGAAGTATTTCCTTTAGCAAATATATCTAATTCTTTTCTATTGTTCACCTAGAATTCTATATAACCAATTAATCGGATTTCCCCTAATGGTCGTAAAAACAATGTTTTGAGTAATTTAAAACAGTAACCCTAAATTATGTAAAAATGTAAATTCAGAAGAGATCTAACCAATTGAAACTGTTTTCATAAAATTAATTATTCTAAAAGGCATTTTGATTGGTGAATAAAACGAGTCCAATCAGCCACGTGTTCTTAGGGTTTAAAATAGGACCAAACATTACTCTTTTGGTTGGACTCGAAATTAACATACATTTTATATAGACATCTTTATTTTATTCACCAGGTTCGTAAACTAATAATATCTGTTTAATGAAAAATATAACGTAACCTTATTAATCTATTAACGTAACAATTTTATAACAGAAAACTTTCTTTACTAAAGTTACCATAAATATCATGATAAACTATTTCAATTAATTACTAAAGTAATTTGATAGTTGTTAATTTAAGTTCATTTTAAGAATCAAACTCTTTTATTTCAAATTAATGTGTTTTATATGAACACTGTTATGGTTGGACTCGAAATAAACAAATATAGTCATATTTGTTTTATTCACCAGGAGGCCTCGAAAGAACGTGAACGACAGTCCCCCAATCTGTTGTAATTAAAGCAGTACATAGCAACAATGTTAAAACCGGTATCGCACAATAATCGCTTTAAGCGGAAGAGAAGAGGCAACTGCCTTAGTATGCCCTTCCCTTCTTTCCCTCATAACACACTCTCAAGATAAGTGTTTAGAAATAATTCTTAAAAGTCAAAGTCTATCCAAAAACGGTTGTCTATAATTGATTACATCATTTGAACTTTGGTGGACAGTTGTCTCATTGGCAATCATACCACATCTCCTTATTTTTATAAACATGTATAAATTTCACAGTTTTTTTCTAGAGCAGATAAAAAAGGAGAAATCGATTCAGATATGCAAAGGCAATAAATGGATTTGGAATTCGAGAGAGTAATTCTTAGGTAGATTGAAACATAACTTTGAAGGCCATACGCTTACCTATAGTTGCCAACATCAACATGATTTGTTCTGAGAGATAGTTGTCTCATTTGGCAATCTTTCCACACCTCCTTTATTTATATGCATGTATAGAAATGTATGGTCCTACATCCTGTTGAAACAATTTACGTATAGTTTGACCTTGCATAAGTTCTTGTTTTTCTCAGTCCGTTTATGGCGTCCTATTTGTTTCCGTTTATTGTTTTAGCATAAAATAGTCTTTTTGTTGTAGCTTACTATCCAGTATATTTATGAAAGCTGTACGTTGACAGCACGCCCTTTGGACTCTATAGCTAGCAGTTAGTTAAGTCATTGGCAATCATACCTTGTCTCCTTGCTTTTATACAGATGCTTCAAATCAAAGAAAAATAGAACATTTATACATACCAACCCGATCAAGAAAACACGAAAGAAGCTGTATATTCTAGCGGATTGTTCTTAATCAAATCTTAGACTACTTTCCACAGTGTCCAAATGATGTGTCTATTTATTTTCTTCCTGTACTATTTCACATTTTGTCGATTTATTGGTATTTTTGATTGTGATACATAAAAGAACTTGGATATGAGTGGTGTCCAAACGGTGTTCATTTTCAATGCCATTTATATTTTTGCTTGGTTGTCTCTTTAACGTTTACTTAATAATCTTTTCGTTTATATCAATTATGCTTTTGTTAGCTACATAAAAAAAGAAAACCTCTATGCTGTTTGGGGAAAAATCTGAACCATAACATTATTCAGTGGCATGATTTTATTACTTGAAACTGTGGATGGCAATTTTAAGAAATCCATTAAGCATCTATAATTTATTAATAAATACATTAATAAGGTATTATCTTAGCTCCGAGTATTTAAATTCGGTCAATAGATAAAAGATATACTTACATAACTAGGTAATATCGATGCCAACCAACAAAAGCTACTCCACCATGAGCAGTCCGTCCTGTATTTTGGTGATATTCAGCAAGAGCATCATACTTATTTGGCCGTACACTCTGAAAAGTTATTGATCAACTTATTAAAGCTTTTACGGTAATAAGTATTAGACTGACAGACAATTGTAAAAATATATAAGAATGTCTTAAACTAGTTTTTATGTTTACATACTTTTTTTTTCTAGTTTAAGGTTGTTTTAAAGGAAATCAATTTTTTTAAAAGTAGTTTTTTTCAAGATTTTCAGTTTTTATTAAAGCACATATATCAAAAGGCTGGGCAGGCAATACAAAAATACGGAGCTGTTCATAGCATTTGTAAGATATTCTAAAATATAACTACCCCCCCCCCCCCCCCCCCCCCCACCCTCCCCAAAGACAAAAGGACAGGGGTGAAAACAATAAGAGGTACATGTAACAGATAAGTAAAAACCATACCGTATAGTAGTTTCTTAAAAATACCCTTGGATAATAACTATGAAATAGTTCAAAAGCGAAACCCAACGGCCTGATTTAGGATATAAACATTAAATGAAAAATAAATCTGTCATTTTTCAACCATCGACTACCACTAGAGTATAGGGTTCCGGCTTGGGATATGTGCATAGATATGGACCTTGGTTAAACATAAACAATACAACATTAAAAAAAAAACCGCTTCATAAAGTCAATTTTACCACCAACTAAAGCTTAATATTGAGTAACAGTAAAGGTCAGTAAAAATTAGGAGAAAGGACGTATTATGAACACAACGCCGGAATGCATTGATCTGTTATTTGTGCTACGTAATTAGTACTGATGAAATACCGGTAGGTTGTATTGTTGTATATATATATTTTTAGTTTACCATAGTGGTGGACGTTAGAATTGGTAAAATATTTTTTCGTAATATTATTCTTGAAATACCTGTCCAGTTACCAGTTGAATACAAACGAATACAATTATTTTTTTCTAAATTTTTCTCTTGATATTGTCTTTCGATTATTAGTATTACAATTGTGCGTAATTCTTCCCAACTGTGAACTTTCCATTTTTATGTAGCAACATTCCAGCAAAAGCCTGCATACGGAATATATATCTCCCAGTTGATACGATATTCCAGGGCTTGCATTTTCTATCACGATTCTCTTGATAGAGGGTTGATGCAAACAAGGAAACTATTAAACGAAGAGTTCCAAGTGATGAAAATGAAATCATCCTTTCAAACATTTGGAGTAGGGGCTATGATGGCCAAAAAATGGCCCCAGATTTACAAAATAATGAACATTTATACTGACCATATTTTTCATCATTAATTATTAGAACTAGAGTGAAGGATTTGAAAAACACTGTTTTTATCTAACAAAAAAGCAAAATGACTTCACAATGACGAGTGTAAATGAAGTCATAATCGGGAAAATAAGCACAAATAAAGAAACTGGGTTGGTTTTCCTTAATTTTGACAACCGCGCAATGCTTGCACCAATTTGAAATTTTGACATTTAGACAAGTTTATCAAACTTCAGATAAAATATCTTTTTGGTGCAAGGTTGGTGCGATAGTTTATTTGATATTTTTTCATAGCTAAGCAGAGCATTAAAAAGCAGAAATTTGACTATAAAATGCCACCAATTCTTCTGATTAATTTAACTTATACATGCTTATGCCTTTATACATTTGACCTTTTCACATATGAATCGGTAGCATGAATTTCTATTATTATTTTCGTAATTATATCTATTTTCAATTTTTTTTTAAACCAATGAACTACATATTGTAAGAGAGTCAACGCAATGTGGAGGAAAACAGCTAATTTTTAGAAAAAAATGAAATTCTCCTCAACTATAAAATAGACTTAAAATTTAACAAAATCTTATCATTTCTAATGTTTCTGCTAATCTCAATTAATAATTCGGTGTTCGAAATTAGGGATGGAACCAGATTTTTAAAATAAGAAAAGTTGGGAAGGGTAATTCAAGAAAACAGAATAAAATATATCGAAAAAAAATTCAACGATTATCTTCTAAAAGTTTGTATAAATCATGACAAACATGAGATTCATTTTTTATCCCACCACTTGGTTTCATGCTTTTTAGTATTTTACGTTAATGATGTGAGATCTGAATTTGCTACTTAAAGATGAGACTAAAATACAAATTTTAGACCAAATGTGTAAAGTTTCAAGATATACATTTATGTTAAAAGAGATATGGAGAATGGTGCAATATGTTTTTCATATGTCAATATAAATATTACAAGCATTTTGAGAGTATGTCCCCTTCCGGTTAAAAATTCATTGTACTGGAACAAAATGCTAACTTAATACGTAATTTGTAATATTTTCTATATTCTAAAAGTCCAAATATGTGTACTTAAATATTAGGCAACGGTCATGTTGCAAGATAGTAGGTTTAAATTAGCTTATAATAATCATAATGAATGCATTCGTCATCCAGAAGTCCCCATTTCTGTTTCCTAACGGCTCTTTGAGCCATAAACAATATATGTATCATCATTTGACATAAATAGGCAAATAATTCGACATATACAATAAAGAGCTGCGCCATGAGCGCATGATACGCCCGTCGCTCTTTTAGCTCGTCTTTATGCTTAAAATGATTTTTTTTGATCAACCAGAAATACTGTGAGCGCTGTTCAGATAGACCGATCCCCCCCCCCCCCCCAAAAAAAAAAAAAACCAGCATGCACCATTTAGGTACCCCTTGACACAAAACATGAATAATTTGGGACTAGTAAGGCTACCTCAAGTTTGAATAAGTTTGTTGCCTAGAATTTTGAACTAATACAATTCTATAACAGTGCAAAGTAGTGTGAAAAATGGACAGTTTTTGACGATTTTTCAACAAATAAAGTTCCACAATTCCGCAATATCATATCAAAAATTTATAAAACACAGAAGGGAGCTTATTTCAATAGATATAAACAAGCCACCAAAGTTTCATGAAAACTGCTCAAGGCGTTTTTGAGGTATTGTCCAAAAATTGGAAAATCCCCCCTTTTTATGAATAAAGTCCCAATTCTCCAAAATGTAAAATCAGAAATTTATAAAAATCGAAAGGGAACTTATGTCAACATATTTTAACAATTTACCAAAGTTTCATGAAAATTGTTCAAAGCATTTTTGAGTTAATTGTAGTCAGAAAACTGGAAAATTACCCATTTTTTTTATTAATAAAATCCCATAACTCGGAAACATACAATCTAAAACTTATAAAAATCGAAAGGGAACTTACGTCAATAGATATAAACAATTTACCAAAGTTTCATGAAAACTTGTGAAAGTGTTTTTGAGTTATTGTACGAAGTGTTGACGACGGACGGACGGACAACGGTATACCGGACGGACGGACGGACAACGGTATACCATATTACGTGCCGTAAACGGGCGTATACAAATAAGAGAAAGAAAAAGTATCCAACACAAAACAAAATTTCTTCCCTCAATTTCCATAAAGATTCGGTAATGTGGATCGCATAAAACATGTTGATAAAGAAATAGATCGAAAAAAGGAAAGTTCCCATGTGGGAGTGATTATATGCCATAACTGTTAAATTACAAGAGTTTACACCTCAATTTCCAGCACTAAAGACAAAAACAGTAATTGTCACCAATACTGTATTATGAAAAGAATATATAAGCTGTACACGTATTAATTTATGAAACAAATGCAATAACCAGTAATTTCACTATAATATCAATTTTACATTTTTTTACTTCACAGAGGTACTCTTCACGTGCATTTCGTCACCACATTTTCTTGAAGAATTACAGTTGTTTGTTTGTAGTCTTATTTGTTGATCATATTGATCATTAGTTTTTATCCTTGTCATTTTCCTTGGAGTTTGGTACTTTTTATACTGTGCATCTTAAATTATTTTTTATGCAACAAATTGCCGTTGCTATGTGTATAGTTTTGATGCTAGGGAGAAATTACAACGATTTTGCCCAAAAATGTGCATTACATTGTATTACATTAAAACAGTGTATAAACGTATAATTTTCTGCATGTTAAACAAGTTGGATCTTAAACATAAATAGATTAAAGCTGTATATTTAACATATTTATTGAGTTTATTGTCACCGTTACACTGGTTGCTGGGCAACAGAATATACGAGATAGACCCAAAATGCAACCATTTTCAGAAGGTCTGTGATAAAGAGTTACAACATGACAAATTAAATGAAATTTGGGAAAGGGGCCAAAAACGACCCTTATCACCCCTCATCATTTTACGGATGCCATCACGATTTGGTTGACCGTTATGGAATATTTGTTTAACAGCTGACGACGGATATGTTCCAATTGTCGTAGCTACAATCCTATCTCTTTTCCTCGATTGTGACCTACCGCATTTATCACTGGGTTTGTACTTACATGAGCAACATGACGGGTGCCACATGTAGAGCAGGATCTGCTTTCCCTTCCGGTGCACCTGAAGATCAACTCCGTTTTTTGTTGGGGTTCGTGTTGCTTATTCTTTACTTTTCTATGTTGTGTTTTGTATACAGTTGTTTGTCTTTTGGTCTCTTTCTTTTTTGCCATGGCGTTGTCAGTTTATTTTCGACTTATGAGTTTGAATGTTCCTTTGGTATCTTAAGCCTCTCTTTTACAAGTAAACTCATCATAGGTAGCAGGTTTAAAAAGAGAGGAGAAAAATACCAAAGGAACATTCAAACACATAAGTCGAAAATAAACTGACAACGCCATGGCTAAAAAAGAAAAAAAGACCAGCAGACAAACAACAGTACACAAAACGCAACATAGAAAACTACAGACTGAGCAACACGAACCCAATGAAAAACTGGGGGTGCTCTCAGGTGCTCCGGAAGGGTAAGCAGATTCTGCTCCACATGTGGCACCTGTTGTTTTACTCATGTTAGTACACCGGTGATAAGTCAAATTCGGTAGGTCAATTCGGGGAAACGGGGACTGGATTGTAGTTACGACAATCGGAACATATCCGTTGTCATCTGTGAAACGGATATTCCATAATGGTCAGCCAACTCGTAATTGCGTCCGTAAAATTTACGAAGAGATGATTTCAACATCTTCACTTGGAAC